CTTTGAAAAATGAAGTATAACTGCTGCAGTGGGAATGCACTTGTGTCTTTGGTTCAGAGGACTAGGTGTGGTAATTTGTTTTGCCTGTTGCGCCTTCATCCCAACATCATCAAGTGTCCATTAAGCTCCCGTTTTGGCTCTGCAGCTGTGAGACTGCAATTCAGGAGGGAGCAATTTGGTTTTTACAAGTGGATTGTTTGTACGCGGATAATCATCTTTGTTCCACAAATGCCTTTTCTCTAGAATGATGCCTGCGTCAACAAAGTGAATTCATACACATGCAACCATACACCCAGGGGACTGTGACTCTGCTTTTAAATAAACAGCCTCTTTTATTGTTTCAATGTTTGCAACATTATGAAATGTCAGAAACCGTGACATCAGTGTTTTCTATTTCAAGGAATTCCCCCAAGGTCATGTCTCATAAACTGGTACTGGAATTCATTACTACTGACATACTTATTGGATCTAATTGAAGCATAAAAATACCTCAGTGTCACAACATACACAGTTGCTGGGGACACCCAGGTTGATTTGTTTAAGACCAAACCAGGCATCAGCTGTATACTGTACCACTACATAAAGCTCATACAAGTTCCCATTGGCAAAGTAAGCACAAAAATGGATTTTGACTACTCAAATAAAGGAGCTTGTTCTGTGAGATAAACCACAATATCAGTGTTCTATCTAAGTCTATCTCACTATCTAAGTGAGCCACTCATAGTCGCAACAAAACTGAAATGGCTTTCTGCTTATGGATGTGTCCTTGTACCTGCTAAAAGGAAAAGATTAGAATTTGCCGAATAAAATGATTTATCTAGCCCTGCTTCTTCAGGCAGACGAATGAATCATCAATGATCAACTGTTTGCAAGAGTGAGACCTAAAAATTTTGCCACGGTAACCAGAACAACAATATATCAGAGTGAGTGCCTCACATATTTGTGTGTGTGTGTGTGTGTTTTCCCTCCAAGCACCAGCTCAAGCTGTTCTCCGTCCAGATGGGACACTTCACCTTAACAAGAATGGCAGATGAAGAGAGACGACGAGACAGAAAGAGTTTGTGCTTGTAAATGTGCTGCTCTGACTGCGTGTGTGTATGTTTTTGTGAATGTCTATGTGTGTGTGTGTGTGTGTGGGTGTGTGTGGGTGTGTGTGTGGCAGCCTGTCTGCAGAACAAACGGCTTTACCATGAAGCTAGCAATTCGGCCCCTAAGTGGCTCCCATCATAGTCGGCACTGTTTCCCCAGAGTGACATAGCTAAAGCTTAATGGGCCTGGTGATGGTGTGTTAAAGCTTGGTGTTAATTATAACGCCATGCTCCGTTAAACACAGTCACATTAACTTCAGCATAAGCAGCACTGTTGAGCTCTGTCCTACGCAATAAAGTGAGACTGCTGATTCATTCAACATTTGAATTTGACACATATCCAGGATATAGATCATGTACTCATCTCTATTGGTATGATGCTCTTAATAATTGAGGGCATTGATTCTGTTTTGGTCTCTGTATATGTAGTTGATTGTTTTGTTGTTCTGATACTGCTGTCTCGACAGATGAACAATCCCACAGCATATTTGTTATGATGACATATAGTTTATTTCTGTGAGTAAGAAGGGAACTGCGTGATTTGTGTGACTTCCTGTGTTTTATTTGTCAAATGCTGATGAACAGAGAGGCAGGAGTCGTAGAAAATCATTTTCTGCTGGTAATAAGGTATTGATTAACTTGTATTTTCTTCTTTGTGATCATTTGCGGTGTCGTGAGGGAAATGGACGTTGTTTTTCTTTCTTGCATCAGTTTTACCTGACTCCAGAGCAAAGTGCATGTGGTCGTATGGCCTGTTTATCTTGAATCAGTGTGTATACTGAGAAACTTAATGAATGTGTGCTTTGTTTCCTGTTGTTGACATATTCAACACTGAAACAGCAGTCATATGGAGCTGAACGGCTGCTCAGCCTAAAGCTGCTCTCAGTGACAGAGAACATCATTCACTTGTGAAAATATTAATTTCACTTCTGATTTATTTGTTTAATTCCACTGATTGTTTTAGAAAGTAGTAGAATTTGTATATTTTAAAGTATTAAACTGCCTCTCTTACCCATGTCTGTCTTGCTGAATCAATGTTAATGAGATCAGAAGTGAAAGGTCCACTGAACAAATGGCTTCAGATTGAAGCAAATAAAGCTAAGCTAAAGCTAATGGTTATATATAGTGTAAAGGCGACGTCATATTTGCACCTTGAGTCCTGGGGCCACTGGCCTGGATTGTCATCAAAAGGTGTTGAAGGTTGTCCTTGCCTCCCCTCATCACCCAACCCCCCAACTCCACACACACCACACACACACACACACATCCTGTTTCTCTGGTTATTTCCATTCGTCTGCCCCCCGGTTATCAACTATCTGATAAAGTGGAGATAAATTAGACCTATTGTTGGTGTGATGAAGCAGAACCTCATACTTGCTCTGTTAGCTCGCCTATGAACTCTCTCCCTCTTTTTATCCCTCACACGGCCAGGCTGTGTGATAACAACCACATAAAGCATCTGATAAATAGCAGCCAAGGTGAATATTGGAGGACATTATGTGCATGTGCACACGTACGATACATAAACGTATATTAACATACAGGCTCACACACACACACACTTAGTTGCACACAAGCACGGTGCCCATTGCCTTTTATCAGCGTTATATCTGCATGGTTGGCTGCGAGCGGTTATTTATTTCTTTTCCAGATAATGAATTTTGTTACAAAGCTGCTGCATGCATATAACTACTTTCTTCAGCTGAGCGCCTTTCCCAAGCACTTAGCTGCTGCTCAAATCATGTTTGCTTTGAACACAGCTCAGTGTCGAGGCATGGTTTCTGGTGCAGCAGAAGGGAGGAGACTTGTGTTAGTGCAAATGAGTTTGAGCCTTTGAGCTCTGTTTCTGTCTTTATATAGTCCTGTCTTCAGCGTGTCCTCAGCTGGTTCCAAAGATTATGTGTGGTTGTGCAGCGTTTGTTTTTCAACGCAACTGAATTCACGTCAAGTCAGGATAGTGTCACAGCACAATCAACCTGTGGATGGCAGAGCTAACTCAATATACCCTAATCTGATCAATTTGATAAATTCAATAGGAGGACAATGCCGCACGTCAGCATGATGTTTTGTCAGACTCAACTGATTAAGGTCATAGCAACACATTTCACCTGCAAAATCTCCATTACATGATGTTAGTAGAGCTGCAACCATAAGTAAATTAATAAATTAGTCGACTGACATTGATTAGTCGATCGACAGAGGAATACTAATCACTATTTGATTTTTTCAGCTTTTGGGGCTTCTGAAAATCTGTCTGTATAGACAAAGAGCCAGCTAAGCCAGGATACTGGGATGATGAACAAAAATCAAATGCTGGTTGGACACACCGTGTTTAAAGTTGCTTGAGTTATTGAGTAATAGGTGTTAAAACTGGAATTCAGTTGGAAAACCTGGAGGCTGAATGCTCGCTTACTGGATAAACTTATTGATAAGCTCCCATTGTGGATAGTCATGCTTACTCATTTCATGCTCAACACTTCCTCACTTTGAAATTGTACTTTTAAACTTTGGAAGAAGAACATACAAAAACATGTGAGTTACATGTTTTTTTAGTGTCTAACGTTGTCTGCATTATGTATACAATGACCTAAGCTCAAGAGAGGTCACTCGAAGGAGTTTAAGCCCTGTCTCAAAGGTAAAAAAAACACTTTTTGATTTGTCATAACCAGTAAAGCCCAGTCATCAGTAAATCGTGCAGGGCACAAAAGGAAATGAGGGCAGTCTTTCAGGAACAACCTCACCTAATGAAATTGTCACTGTCAGCTATCTTGGTCCGTCCAGTTTAATGCTGTAGTTTCACGGTGTCTGCTTTGTTTCTTTTAAAAGATAGAGAGACACTGTGAGCTGTGCTCCTATGCTACTGAATCAGCTTGAGTCAGGGAGGGTTATTGGTGATTTCTCATGTCAGTGGTTTTAAGGCCACCCAGGGGAGACGGCTTGATATGCAGTCTGCAAGGTGCTGAGATTTGAAGGGCTCTGAAAAAGAAGGGGGAGGAACTGAAATCAATTTTCTTGTTTAGCTTAGGCCCTGTTTTCACTGTCCCACTTGAAATTGTTGTTGGGGTCATGCTTTAAAAGTTTAAATGTCCTTGGAGTTAAGTGTTTATTGCTTGATGAGTCATAAGTCAGTGGTGAAAGAACGATGGAAGTAAAATGTATAAGGAAGAATGAAGAGCTGAAAAATGTTATGTTAAGAGCCTTTCAGAGTGGTACAGAAATGCAGAGGTCCTCGGTTTTTCCCATCTTTCTCCATCCTCATCTGCTGCTGTGCATCTGTCTCCTCTCCTTCTCTCTGCTATTCTCTTCACTCCATTGATTTTTACTTCTTCCAACATCTATCTTTTTCCTCCCTGTCCATGCAGTCATTCCTTCTCTTCTCATATGGCTCTGCAGGAGGAATCGTGTTAAAGGCTGCAACAAGGGAGCCCGGCAGTCCACAGTTGTGCAAGCTGAATGGCTGATACATAATAGTGCAAGAAAATATGTGTGTTAGTGAAATTTCTGCTAAATATACACAGGCCATTCCATCCTACCTGAAGCCAACATCTTATTACTAGGGATGCTCGATATTGGC